GAAAACTATAACTAATACCTAATTTTTTTTTAAATTTATAATTAATAGTGGATTTTTAAATCTATGATCAATAATGAATATTAAAAAAAATAAAAATTCATACCGGATTTTTATTCTAATTTTTATTTTAATATCCGTGATTAATACCGAATTTTACGATAAGCATTAATGAGTAAACTAATTTTCAGCCAATAAAAGACTCAAAAGTCACTCAGTGCAGAAGGTTACTGAATACGATTCGTGAAATGAACTTAAGGATAGAAAATAAAAAGTGATGATTACGAATATATAGATGATAGATAACCTCTTCAAGCCATTGATCAATGTTTATGTAGAAGTTCTTGGGATGGAGCTGTCTGAGTTGAACTTCGTTATTAACAATGGAATACGGGGAGAATGGGGGTGACTCAAAACTGTGGCCGTATCAAAGCGTGCCTAAACTGTAAACATCTGAAATGTTAGCACAAACAATAGAAATCATCCGAACCTTTGCCATGGAAGTAGCGACTGTAGAAAAAGAGGTGTAAAGTAGAAAATAAGTCATCCTCGACATGCCAGCTTAAACGACCTTGAACTATATCAAAGCTTACTGCTTTTGCTTTTATTCTTAAATATTAATTATTTACCAACTATAATAAAATATTTATAAAGACAAGCCACTTTCAAAAACAGCCGTTGCAACGATAAACATAGTCATAGTATTAGCCTTAATAAAAAATGAGGGGAATAGTAAATGTTGTTACAGTGGGGCTGGCAAAGTAACAGAAAACCACAGAAGATAAAGAAAATAATTCTAGTAGAAGAAAAATTATATCAGCTCTGTTAGAAAGAAAAGAAAAAGAATCCTTCAAGTTTTTGATAATGTAGCAATAGCTATAATTTGATTGTCAAAAAAGGGGCCATGCCAAGACGCTAAATTACAAACTTGAAATCTTTTGGAATCATATACTGCCATGTTTAAATTTATCATAATCATGAAAAACTAGACGGCGCCCGTTGAAGATTTCAGCATGGATGTGTCATTTTAATTTAACAAAGGAAAGAAACCTTTTTCCACGTTTAGTATCAAGAGAATACATTCCGCTGGTTCGCTTAGATGAATATCTTATCTTCTTTATGGATCATGATTTTTTTTAAATCGTTGCAATACCAGGGGAAACAGGGTATTTAATACCTGAAGAATTTCAGAAGATTTTAACAAGAGATAATATTTAAGAAAATGCTACAGAATTAACTAAAAGATAATTCAAGAAAACAATGATTACTAATTTATTTCTTACTTTGCCCATACACATGAAATGGATTTATTAGAAAGGATGTTTGCTGATATGACCGAAAAGATAAACTGCTGTGAACTAAAAGAAAATTTCATCACTTCTTTACTTTTGTTACTCTTTTAACGACCTCCAATCCCAGGTGTTCGCAAGATGCATTACGCGCTTATCACCTATTCCAATGCCGGGTTATCTGACACGCACTGTCTGCATTGATAATGTTTATGGCAAACCATCGATATTTAATGGCGGTAACAGCGGAGAAAACAAGTCAAAGATATTTTTAATGACACTGTGTGTGCCTAAAATGATCCAATTATCTCACCCGCGCCTCATAT